TGCAAATCCGAGTTCATGGTTGCCAACATAAGACAACACACATCGACCCTATCACTGACATGCTTCTCATAAGCAGTTCTTTCAGCATGTTGGACATTGGTCTTAGGTTTTTCAGGAAGAACTTTTTCTAGGACATAGTCCTTTTTCTCCTGCTTGAGAACAATTCTCAAGTTTCGATACCATTCAAGGAAATTCGATCCATTCAATTTATCCTTCTCAAGGATAGATCGCAATGAGAACGAATAGTGGTGAGTTGTCATTTCTGGAAGAAAAGAATAGGGAGTGTTGATATGATGTTCATGAATTGAGAAATCTCAACAAATAAGAAAACTCATATTATATTCAAAAATTTTCCTCAAATGAATATAATAATCCAAGATCCATATTTCACTAAAATCCGAGTGAGCTTTGGATCATCGCCCGAATTCTAACTATTTAGGTAAGCAACACTTTGCTAATTATATCCAATATAATTCTTGGTTGTCAGACGACATCTTATGTCTTATCCAACCTATGTCTCTAAACCCAAAACCATAGCCTAGTCAAGTAAACCAATCTTGTTTCATATGGTAACCGTTACCATCCACCTCACTCATGTAATTGCAGACACCTTGCTTTGGCAAGCCCATCTTACAACGAAACGAGCCTTGATGGTTGATAAGATTGGGTAGAGATCAAAATTACTTGAAATTAATTAAGGAACAAATTTTTAATTCAATTTTAATTTATATTTAAAATTTATATCTAATATAAAATATAAATATAACTAATACATATCTAATATGTATTTTAATTGAATTATAAATAATTAAATTTATTTTAATCTTATTAAAATAATATATTATTTATTGAATAATATTAGTTCTAATCTAATTAGAACGATAATAAATTTTGATTTAACCAAATCAATATATAAGTATATCTAAATCTATATCAACACTTTGATATAACCGAGATATATTCTAAATATATTTATTTACATAAAATATTGATACATTAGTATAATGCGTATGTTAAAATGTAAATATTATATTTGTACAAACAACAACTTTAAAACACGTTAGTTCACTCGAAAACAAACAACATGTGA